TGGCTAAGTCGGGTGTTTATTTATACAAACAAGAGGGCAGAACATAATTTAGTTGCATCGGGAATTTTTCACAGACATTAAAACTATAGCAAACATAACAGCGGGGATGCTTGCACAGCAGCACAGTGGGGAAGCTCGCAGAGCGTCTGCCCACACTACGGCTGGCTGTAGCCAGCGCCATAAGTCTCAAAATTTCATTAGCGCTCGAAAAATCTACCTAAACAACTCAGTTCCGATTAAAAAAAAAAAAAAAAAGAAATAAACAAACTAAAAAAGCCCCAGACAAGACCTGCCTTTCTCTCAGCAGCTGAATCAGGCAGGAATTGTTGGAAAAATAACTCTTGGCAGCCAGATTTTGCTGTAGCAACAGTGTGTGACATTTGAACCACAGCAGAAATCTTATCCAAAAAAACAAAACAAGGTGAGAAGAGCCATGTAAGAGAAATCTGAGAAAATCATGCCTAAAAAAACAACAGCAGCAACAATAAAACATAGGTTAGGTGGCAGATCAATAGTTTGATATTTTATGCAGAATCATAAATCACTGTTTGTTTTTTTTTCAGCTGTGAGGCTCAAGAGCATAAAAAGAAACCATGGCTCGTGATAAAATTAGGCATTAATGCGAGCCATAAATGCCATTTAACATTGAACATGCACAAGGCACTGAAATGCCTGGCAAAGGGAAACGGGCGCTATAGCAGAACTATACAAAAGTAAGTCAGACATGAATAATGCAGCAGGTCTGAGGAGGGTCATGGGTCAGTCTCCAGTACCTTCCAAAATAATGAATGCATGTCAGGTTAGAGACATCCATCCCTTCCTAGCCAACGTGAGTTATTGGAGATAAACCCTGGACTTCCTGTTCTGAAACAAAGTGGCTTGTTGTAAACATCTCCGTCCATTTAAAATTAATGATTAAAAGAGAGATTCGGTGGGATTTACTTAAGTATTCTTTATGGACACGAGTGCTAAAGGTTGCTTTCTTCATTCATTTTTAGCCAGCCACTGTTAATGTTACAGACACATCGTGTTTTCTTCTGCGCTCAAATGTTTATCCAAAGCTCATTTACAAAAGAGCTTATATAACATTACGTGGGGTTTTTCAATGCATTCTTCATTTAAATACAAACACGAGAGCATCTCCACAGTTTTACTCCACTAAAGGGAGCCAGCCTTATTTTTAAAAACAGTAACCCAAATTCTAAATATATGTTCCATTAAAATATTCCATGGAAAACCATCTGCAATTCACTTTGGAGTATCTCGATCTGCTGAAATTATCACCTACAGCTTCCGTATTTTGACCAAAAAATGCAAAAAAAAGGATTAATCATCCTCTCGTTCTTTATCTGATCAGTGTGATTATGGTCACTCTTTTCCTTCAGAAATCTTCACAGGGAAAAGAGAGTCAAACTTTCCAAAATGGGAATCTTTTCCCCAAATTTTCATCGATTTTCACAATAGCAAGAGTATAATGAAAAATACTCTTATTTCATTTTGTCAAAACTGGCCTGCTTCATTTTCTAGGCTTATCTGGAGAATTTAGCAGCTGTTCAGAGTCTTTTCCTTCCTTTGCCCTCTGTACTTTCAGGCTTCATAATACAGCACAAGGAGGGGGGTATCTTCTCCACAGCTATTTATACAAACCCATGGTCAAGCATTTCCTTCCTCCATTTGTGCATGCTAAAGAGAAAAACTCCCCAAAACCAGAAATTAAAGACTCTTCCTACTTAGGAACCTGAAAGAGGAAAATTTCTAGGAAAGTGGAACTCAAGGCTTTACAGAAAGAAAGCAAATCCATAGGTATTGCAAATGCAACATAAGATCTTGCATCTGATCTGTTAAATATTCCATCAACAAGGTCAAGAGTAAAGACAAGCCCAGCCACAAAACCTGCAGCAAGAGTAAGCTTTAACAACAACATTAAAAAAAAAAAAAAAAAAGTTTATCCTCTTCAGCTTCTCAAGTGGAAAAACAAATTCTTTCATACTAGAGAAAAATCAAGCGTGTATACAGCATTTTTTTTTAAAAAACCCACCAATATCAACCATTTTAATGAAAGAGTAGCCAATATTTTCATGGAACTATAAAAGGGAGGGAGACTAAGTGTTATGGCAAAAAGCTTGGGCTCAGCAGCTTTGTGTGGGAAATGGTGAAATGTGACTGTGATTTATAATGAGAAAAGGTATCTACAACATACAATTTTCTACCTAGCTGCAAATAATAATTCATAGTGATGTCCCTTCCAGATAAAATACCTTTGCAATGTAGGACTCATGTGGTAAAATGATCATGATAAATGTCAGACCAGTGCAGGTAACGGCTTTACAAACCATTAAGATTAGCTGGCTCTTTTTTTTTGATGATAACGGTAACCATGCTGTGACTCTATGTGGTAATAATATCTCAGTACTGATAAATGCCAGAGCCAGGCAGAGGTGTTTATCATTCCCGCTTCAGAAATGCTGACTAAAGTTACCACATGTTGCCCGCTTTTTTCTTCTTTTACAATGGACTAACAATTAACAAATAGACCGATTCACAAAATAATTTCACGCAATAATTTCTATGGTTTTTGTGCTTACCTAAGTAGCTCTTCTGTCTATCAGTACCGATGATTTTGGGACTGTAAGCCCTGAAACAAAGCTTTCTACCCTTGCCATTCTCTCAATCAATAATGTTTTTTTGTAAATTAACACTGCTCTTTTTAGTTTATTTCTTTTACAAATACACATTATGAGGAAGCACAGCCTCTGTAAGGTAGGGCTTCTGGAGGGAAGATGGTGACTGAGCTGATATCTGGGTTAACTAACACAGCAGAGATACTTCCTTCAAGAGAGCACAATAAAGTTTTATTGTATGACATTCCCTTACAAATATTCTGCAATGGAGAAAAGTAAGACTTTCTGACTATTGAGCCTTTCCCTA